CTATTACAAACAACAGGGCAAATTAAAGGACAGGTACAGCCATAGCCACTATGAAGTAAGCATCCCTACCACTCCCAAAATGCATTATCAGTTGCCTCGGATGTCCAGGCAGTCCAGGCAGTCCAGGGAACAATTTAAACACTGACTCAGTCTTGTGTAATCAGATTAATTGTTGCTAAGTGCATTATTTCATGACAGCGTACTTCAACAAGTTAGGTATACATATAGTATATACCACAAAAGCAAATTATTTCTGGTGTTATTGCTAATTGAGATATCAGATCAAGAAAGTATAAGGTTATTAATAAAGAGTTAAATTTTAGCAGTAAGCTTTTCGAGTTATTGATTTGACAATTTACTGTACGTTGTAAAATTACAAAAGGAAACACTAAATTTAGGTTGTAAAACACTAAAAAACTTACTTACTTACCTTTCAGTCTCAAAAAGTTTTCCTCTTTACTGCTTTAAAAATTTGAGCTTGTGTTTACTACTCGCCGAAGTTCCTTGTATTCTCTAGTGTGACAAAAAAGGTCACGCAAGCAAGAAAAGGCTTGGGCACAAATTCAGTAGGCTTGGCTACTGACTTGAGCCTGGTTTCTAAGCTCCTTCAGAAAGTGATCCCAAAAAAAATTTCTGCGTGCGGGCAACAGTCAAAGTTGAACTGAAATGGAGCATCTTCTAAATGGATTCCTTAAGAATCCCCAGTCCCAAAAAAAAAAGAATGAAAAAGTCCAGTCCATAATTCGCAGCTCAGTTTCGTTCCGTTTTAATCATGCTTTCATAACATTCTTTTGTATTTTGTCGCAACAAGCCGACTCGCAAACGGTTCGTAAGAGAGGAAATCCAAAGCGAAGCAAATATTGTGGCTTTTTAATGATTTTAACGATTTCAATTACAAAGTTTTACATTCCGAATTATTGAAAAGGCTTACATGCATGAGAACGTTATACAGTCACTCTTTGTCGCTACCATTTAATCTTTTAAACTTGGAAGCAAAGCAAGTCATTTTTTTTCAGTGAAGATGAGAGCCCATTTAAGTATCTTTGTTTACGTTTGAAGAAGGGTGAATTCTGAAGGGTGTAGTCTGTTTTTGAGTCTCTTAAAGAATATTATTTTGTGTGTCTACAGTGGAAACACAGAAACAGGATACACTTCATTCCTAATTCATCCCATTAACCTCGATAAATCTATTCCTTTTATAATAATTATTAGGACCAGAGAAAAAAGGAGAAAATAAAGTAAAACGAAAGTAAATGCGTTACCACTCTGTGCGCTTGAATGTGAGGACGGCCGCGTGTTTTCAGATATTAATGACAGAAAGTTAATGTCAGTGTTTGGGAGAGATCAAGGAGCTACTTTCTAAACTTGTCTTAAAATTTAGGAAATCTGCTAGGACTGGTTTTCGACTTTTGTTTATTCGTTTAGCTATTCTTTTCCTTCGGAAAATGGTCTTGATTTCCGTAAGGGCAACAGAATGGAGGGAGTAGACAATTGCTTGTACTTACCATGAACTGAGCATCTGCCTGTAAGAAATGATTTGAGACCCTAGTTTTTTCACTTTGTTTTATTTACAGCTCTTAGGAGTTGTTAAACAATGTCATACTTTAAAGCTGATTCAAGCTTCTCTCTGATGGAGGAAAAGCTAAACTTCAAAGGAAATGTGGTGTGTTTCTGGACGCTCTGAGAAAAAAATTATAATACCTGAGTATTCCCTTCCAAAGAGCTTCTGGAATAGTATTTGGGAGTTTTGTAGAAGTAAGGTTAGCATAAATCTGTAAACTTTATTTGATTGATTAACTCAGTGGTTTACTATATCAATTAGGTTTTGAAAAAATGCTGTAAAGGCACCACAGAATTTTTTCCCTTAAACTTCCTTTTACACAGATTTTCCTTTTCTTCCTCTGGTCCTAACCAAAAGTTACCAGGAACATTGTCGATTAGAAAAGAAATGACCAAGGGCTTCCACTTGAAAAGTAGTAGAGAAAGAATGCTACCACTGTAAGAGAGATACTGGTTCAAATTTGCAGGCAGAGATTCTCTAATGTCAATGGTTTGCAGTTACTTTGATCAATTATGTTTTTATCCTACTCTATCCAAAGAATTTCATGTTAATCAGCCTGTGTAAAAATAATAATGAAGGTTACATCTGTCTGAATCAAACTTGCCCTAACTGGTGATATGTCTTTACATTTTTTATATTAACTTACTAAGCAGACTGCTAAGCTGATGAGCTGCTGAACTACAAAAATATTGCAGCATTTGAAATGTTCACAAATAATGTCCACTTTTGCAGTTTCCTAAGTTTGAAAATGAGTACTAGCTGTGGATGAGCCACTAAGTAAATATTCATAACCTTTAAAGAGGAGACATCAGCAGTTCCTCATTCTCACATGAACTACTGAGCCTTTTCCTTAAAAGGTTACCTTTAGTTGTATTCTCTGCATGGGCTTGTCAGGTCAAGTAGCTATAAGACTCTAGGAGAGGTGGTCACTTTGATGTTATGTATATTTTTTGAACACTTCAGCTTATTTCTCTAATAAAATAATCAGTATGGGCCCCACCATGGATGTAATTGGAATATATCTAAATTTTGGTGAGCCTTGTGATGTTTGCTTACATGGAACGTTCCTTAATATAAAAGTTGTTTTAAATTGACTCAGTCAAACATACTCATGGCATAATTTCTCTTCATATAAAAAGTTACCAGGGTAAACAAGTTGGAGTTCAGGTGTATGTTGTTTGACAGGATGATGTTGATTGTTGGTTTGTGATTTATGACAGGATCACAAAGGGAATGTCAAACCTGAAGAAGAATGGTCAACAGATGAATACTCGGGAGATCATTGGAGCGAATCAGAAGAAGAGTCAGATCCTGGGTCAGGTATCAACTCAGGTGATGAGGAGGAGCCTGGGTCATTTACCACCTCAGGTGACGAGGAGGATCTTGGGTCAGGTACTGACTCAAGTGACGAGGAGGATCCTGAGTTAGTTATCAACTCAGGTGACGAGGAGGATCCTGGGTCAGTTACTGACTCAGGTGATGAGGAGGAGCCTGGGTCCTGCCTGGAAACATAACTGACTGGGACTGACTCAGTAGACCGCCTGAAACTAAGGAAACTTACCATTGGCCAGAACTGTCAGGCCAGACCAGTCCATCCATTGATAGAATTCCTTCAGATCTGCTCAGTTAGAGAAGTCAATACCTAAGTTGTAGTCATTGTGTTGAACAAAATTTGAAAACAAGGTTAGGAAACCTGATTAAACAAAGCACATTTCAAGATGATTGGTTGGTTTGGTAGGTTTCTGACCAATGGTGGGAGACTTCAGTGTGGTGATCAAATGAACAAACAATCAACTGTTGGATGAAAGATAAGGAAATATATTCTTAGAGTCACTTAGCTCAGGTAAATTGGTACCCTCACCAACATGGTAACTCCCTCCCACAACATTGCTAAGAACATGTGGGATGTTCCTCTGGAGTCAGAGTGTCTCATTCTTGAAATTGATTGTTGGATTTGGATATATTTTAGGTTATTTTTCGATGTCCAATATTGTTGGTTGTAGTGTGGATTTACAGCTTTGAGCTTCAAAATTTGGTTTTCATGTCTTTGAGTTAGAGACTGTGGTATTTTTTGTCATTTTTAGTTTAGTAGGCTAATGGTTATGTGCTGCCTTGGCAATTAATTAATTCATTAGGCTGACTGTCCCTACTTTTGATGTAAATGTAAGAAGTCCTCAATGCAACAATTCTTCATAAAATCATAGATATTTTAATGTGGCAAAGAGCAAAACTTCAACTATACATTGAAGTCTTCACTAAAAGCAAAAAAATGATGTGAATATCAATTTCATGATTTAGGATCAATATTTTTCTTATTTTCATGGCATTCAACATACACTGTGAATGAATTTAGCTGTTTGTTAATTTGTCACAGGCTTCTGCCTGGCTAAATTTCTAAATATTCCATTTGATATTAACGTAAATAGTGCATTGTGGTTGACATTCAGTCGTCAGAGCTTTCAAGAGTCAGTTGAGTTTGATGGAAGAAGGGAAACTGTGTTTGACAAGTATTTCCATAACTCTGAAAAGTAAAATAATTTAACATAGTATAGTATTGGTTGTACTCTCAAAATTGTCAAGTGAGTTACAGCTAAGTCATGGTTATATTATATCATTCTTATTTGAGAAACTGGAATTGTTCCTTAGGTGACATGTGCTATTGTGGCTGCATGTACACGGTACACATTGTGAGATACTGACTTTATCTCCTGATACTCATATATTAAGTCTTTTAAAGTGCCAATGCATTTTCTGGTTGATAGCTTTTTTAAAAATTAGAAACATTCGACCTTAGCGCCCAGCAAATTCTCCTTGACCATTTTTTTGCGCATTGAAAGTGCGATTTGGCGACTAAAAAGTGTCCCCATTAAGCGGCGGCCAAAACGATCATGTTACATTGCGGTAACGTAGAAAACTGTGAAGACACGTCGGCAAGTATGGTGGAGAGAGGAGAAATCAAGAGGAAAGGACGAACGTATTGTGTGGCCAGCGCCCCAAATGATGTTAGTTACAAGATTAATACACATATACCGGATATTTCTATACACCACTTTCCAAAGGGTGTAGCCGTATGACTACAATGGACGCGAAGTCGTCGAGATCGAGGAGATTTTACTATTCAATGTCGTTGGCCTCAAGATCCGTACCGGTGTTACAGCGGATTTTGGACGTCCTACCCCCCCCCCCCGTCCAAATCTGCCAGCGAATATGAACCCCCCCCTCCCCATCAAACTTTCCTTTAAGCGGCGTTTGTATCATATTTTTTAATTGATACCATTTTTTTTTTGGGGGGGGGGGGGTATAAATCCGCGGAGGATCGTTTTTCCCCCCGACAAGTGGGTCGCGTGACTTGCGAAATTGTTTTGCCAGTTACATAAGTCACGCAAAACATCACCTCTTCCCAGATCCCTCGGAAAAGATCCCAGTGAGTGATGGGAATGATCGCTAGCTACTTTGTTGAGCACACTCTAGAACACGCTCGCAGAAAAGCTCTAATTGCTGTGCTCTTTCAGACTTTTAATGGTAACAAGACTTGCTTGGAATTTCAAAGGTAAATCAGTGCATCGAAAAAGATAAAAATTTAATCTTCGAATTGTTGTTTTTTTTTTGTTCTTGTTGAATAAAAACTCTTAATTTTTCCCCTTTTTACAGGGTAGCAACATTGCCCTCCAACTCTCTGATCAGTCTGTTATTTTGCTTGTCAATCAAGGGTGAAGTGATTTGCTGATAGCAACAGCTGAAATAGAGAGAATTAGTCAAAGCAGGTATGATGAACAGCCTTTAAAGTGAGCTATTTACTACCGCTCCAGCTGATCAATCAAACTTGTATTTCCACGACTTCCAAAGCAATGGTCATAAACATACCAAATTAAGTTACCATTATTGGATTAAACTCTCAGTGCATGGATCAAAAATACAAAAAGATTTGCTTCACTTACTGCCCTAGTTATAAACTATTTTGCTTGACAGGGCAATAACAAAAAACTAGCATAATCAACTCGTGACAGTGAGGTTTCATTGTTAAGTAAACAGAATATTAATGCAAACTTTTTACTTTTGTTCACTTAAAGAGACATTGTCCATTCTAAATTGTCCACCCCCATCGGTTTACAAGTAGATCAAGCTGCGATGAAATAGTTTTTGCCAAATGGTGCATTTCATAACTTTCCATTGTTAAATAGCTTATGGTGGTTATGCTTCAAAATTTGAAATGTCATTGCAATAAGCTTTGAGTTTTTACTTTGTTGAATAAAGTTGCAAATTAAAGTTTAAAGTACCAGTTTATAAGATAGACAGAACATCAGTCGTAGCTGCCCTTGCGAACTGAATTCCCAGTTTTCTGGGAATTCCTAGGAATTCTCAAAAATTCCCAATTCTGCAAATGACCCTTGCAAACTGAACTCCCAGTTTTCTTGGAATTTCTGGGAATTTCTGGGAATTCCTAGGAATTCCTAGGAATTCCTAGGAATTCTCAAAAATTCCCAACTATGCAAATTAACTGATTAACTGATTTAAAAAGCTTGGAATTACTGGGAATTTCTGGGAAAGGAAGACTCCAGTTTTGTGAGGACTTGGAATCCCTAGGAATTCCTAGGAATTCTCAGCTTTACAAACTACCTATAATTTAAGAAGTGTGGAACTCTTGGGAATTTCTGGGAATTGAATTTGAGGCAATTTTAATACCCTGAGGTCCACATAAATTCTAAGAAATTCTCAATTCCTTGAATGTGAAGGTGTTAAGAAAAAGAGTAATTTCAGAGGCTTAAAACTTTGGCTCAATAAAAGGTATGCTATACAAAACTTACCAAGAGATATACATACATGTACATGTTTATAACTTAAAGATCATGAAATTTATTACTCAAACTAAGTTTTAGTAAATCTTTACATTAATATGGATTTTCTCATGAACCAGCTGTCAGTTATGTTAATGGAAATTGCCAACTTCCACAATAATTAACAATAATTACATTGTTATCTTACTTCCCTAACCTACATTACTGGTTGCCTTTGTTAGAAAACCTTGGAACAGTCAAGCTCAGTTGCCTCAAACGCTGTCAGAGACCTTTTGTTGACAATACTTTTAGTAGAAATTTCATGCCTTAGACAAACAAATTCAACACCTAATTAATCTTTCTTTTTTCATGATTGTTGTTGCTGCTTTTTTTCAGTTTTATGCTCTATTTTCATGACTAATTGCTGTAATTTGTTTTGCTGTTTTTATTCTTACAAAACATTTTTGTAAGAGTTCCAATACTTGTGGATCATCCACACACTTTGCAAACATTCGGCATGCAGACAAGACAGAGGTAGTCAATGTACCCTTTGAGGAAAAACACCTTTTATATGACGTCTTCAATTTACTTTATTTGAAAATCTGATCTGAAAATATTTGTCAACAAGACTTGTTAGTAGTGAGAAGTACCAACCAAGTTTCCTTTCATAACTTAATTTCTTAAATGTCCCAATCACTGGATCTCCCAAAAAAATATTACATCTTTTTATTTTTGGTGCAAATTACAAGTCCTTCTTTATATAAAAATGAAAAGTGCTATTCACACTTCAATAATAACAGCTCTTAAGTTTACTTGTTGTTCTTCTCTGTCTGTCAGCTATCAACAAAATTGTTTTATACTTCGGGCAGCGCATAACTATTTGTGGACCAGAGTTCCAACGCACCTCTGTAATCGCATATAGCTACTCCTGTCTCTTGTACAAATGTTTCTCCTTTGTAAGACGCACTCTACTCTGTTGTCAATACTGCTTTAAGTTCAGTGGAAACGACTGACTGAGGAATCGAGATGGCGGTGTTGGAACGTGTTGCTGAACGCTTGCTACGGTCAAGCTTTGTAGATTTAGGTACTGGTACACTGGGATCATCTATGTATCTCTTACACTTCCGAATGTGGTATCCTTCTTTTATAAATATGAGGGTAAAAGACGATTTGTAGTCGCATTCAAAACTGTGATTGGCTTGTGTTATTTCTCACCTTTGCCATTAACACAACTCAAGTGAGTTTCGAGTCTTTTTTTCCTCGACAACTTTCGGCCACAAATCGTGCATTTGTAATACGATCGATTCTTGTCGATTATTTCTACATAGAGTGAGCTCACATCTTTATTTATATCACCAAGCTGTCCATCTTCTAGAAGCAGAGAACCGGTCGGAGAAGTCAGAAAAAAGTTGGGCGCTACTCTTAACACTGCAATCGGCAAGCCAGCGGATTCACTTTGCTAGCCAATTACAAGTCCTAAAAGATCCACGTGATCATGCCCGTGATCGGAAACAAAGAAGACTCCATTTGGCGCTCATCTTTGAATGTACTTTTCATCGGTTGATCGCTTTTCTCAACTGTTTTGCTTAATATAACATTTCTAAAGATAGCTTTTATTGTGGTTCAATGGGGAAACGAGAATAGTGTGAGTGTTGTAAAAGAGAAGAAAGTCGTTGGCGCCGTGGAGTTAAAAGAAGGGACAACAGTTGACATATTCACCGGTACAAACAAGGGTCGTCAGTGGCCATCTGTAAAGCTACGATTTTGAAAGTTTGTGGTGAGTAAAAATTGCGATATTCGTTGTGATCAAAATCTTATAAAAGAATAGATGTAGCGGGTTGAATTAAGCTTACATAACGCTCGGCGCAACTGAAACTAGAATAATTCTGAGAATCGAATCGGTCACTTGCATGCCGCAGTTTCTTAAGCTTATGCTTTACAATGAAATAAACCTATCAGTAAGGTTTCAAGATTCCTCCAGTCACGTTTGGGAACATTCAAGATTCATAACAAACCTTAGTACATAAAGAAGCCCTCCTTGGTAAAAACAAAATAATGTATTCAGCCTTTTTTTAGTAAAATCCATGAGAGAGATGTACTAACTCCAATATAAAAGTCACTCAATATGACAGAGATTTCTCAATTTGAGAATCCAATGAATGCCCTTTTCCTCATAGCCATCTTAAAAGCCTGGTCTGAGCTTTAAACATACATATTTTAATATATTATTTTTTTTCAAATTCAGATGTCAAGGAATCCAGATACAAAATGGTCAAGGTTCTTGTTGACAACCTCATTCAAGGCCAACTCATTGTGAGTCCAGGAAAAAAATACAAACAGTACAAACAGCAGCTAAGTTTGCAGTTTAGGATAACTTCATTCTAATTTATTTTTACAGTTACAACAAGATTTTAATCAAAAAATCAATTTTATTTGTCTGTAATTAGCCCCTTCACTCCCAAGAATATAACTATATAAATATAACTTAAGATATTGTATTTTATGGAAAAGAATCAACAGATTTTATTCACAATTTGTGTCAAACCAAATTTAATGATTGATTAGAACTATTTTATATGAATAGCTGTAATTGAGGATTAATCCGTATGAAGTTTTCAAGAAAAGAAAAATAAATCAAATTCCATCCTAATATTACCACACATTGATGTTAATAATTAATCAAAAATATTTTACATGTAAGCCTTAATTAAGCTTCTAAATAAATTTCATTGAATACTTGAATTTTAGCTGGGTTTTTTTAATTTAAAGTACTTATTTTATATCATTAGCCTCAAATTTTTGCTTAAAATTCCCAGTAATTCTTAAACATTCCTAAAAATTCCCAAAAATTCCCAGAAATTCCCAGAAATTCCTAGGAATTTTTTAGATTTACAGCTTTTCAGGGAAAGTCATTGGTTCTCTGAGTTGGAATTCCTAGGAATTCCAAGTCCTGTTGGCTATAAACTTGGAATTTCTGGGAATTTTTGGGAATTTCTGGGAATTTCTAGGAATTTCTAGGTTTTTAGAACCAGAGTTGTTATGGTTGGGAATTCCTAGGAATTCCTAGGAATTCCCAGTCCGAATTTACCGTGAAAATTCACACCTTTATTCCTAGGAATTCCTAGGAATTCCAAAAGCCATTTCGCAAGGGTTTAATTGTGCTTCTGTCAGCTCTTTAGAATAATTTATAATAACATGGGCAAAGCCAGTGTGAACTTTATTTTTGAAAAGCTCAGCACCACAATACTCGATACTCAGGAGAGATTTACAGCATACTGAAAATGAACTAAAAGCAAAACTTATGTTTAACTGAGGTCAGTCCAATTTCCTGTCAATAATTCTTAGTCAGACATAAGATTTTTGAGAAAGCATTTACAGTACATTTGCTTTTTATGTTTGATTTAGTTTTTTTAACTTTTAAGACTTGTTTGGTATCAAATGTCATGATAATGTAAATTTGTGAATATTACTTGAAGGTACAACTTGTACCAATTACCTGGAAATGATGATGATTGGTGTTAAAAGAAACATGTAATTTTACAATTTGAACCTAGACATTTGAGGAAAAATTTGTGATCGATACCCAAATTTGGCAAGCTCGTTTATATTAATGTAAAATCTTGAGGAATGTCAGGCATGTTTTTGTGTGCTAAATGACGTGTTAATATCATTTTGATTTCCATTAGATAACTGTCAAAAAAGGCAACAGGATCTGAGTTTCTGAAAGCAGGAATAGTTTGTGGCAGTATGGGTGAGTTATATAATGTGTTAAGAAGTGAACTGAGGTGGATAACATTGTAAGCTCCCAATCTTGGATATTTAATTTGTTTGTGTGTCTGTTTTGTTTTGAGTGGGTTAATTGCTCCAACATGAACCCTATACACCCTGATATTAGTCTCTGTTTTCTCCATACTGTTCTCTATACATTCTCTAAGGTGAAGACCAAGAGAGTTTGTTGAATGATCAAGAGCCTCTTTAGCTGGTAATCATTTCCTTTATCCTTGTGACCTTAATGAGTGATTTGGGAGTGATATTATGTGGAGAAATTAGATGCTAGTCACTCTTTGGGGCCATAGGGTTAAGTTCTATCCAAAAGAGTAACAACTGTTTAGTTTTCTTAATCATAAATAACTTCCAGTAATGTACCAATCATAATATCATTGACACTATTTTGTTTTCTCAGACATGATAAAATAATTGCAATTCTTTATTAATACCTTGATTCTATTGATGATGTTATTGTTTTATCAAACAAAATAAATGTTAATATCTTGCTCCAATGATTTACGGGAAGAAGACAGCATGGAGTGATTATCTTAGTGACAGGAAAAAACTGAGTTAATTTAATTGGCTGATCAAATAAACCTGACCAGCATGGTCTGACTAAATTTGTGGCTGTACCCAGGACAGCCAAAGGTCACCAAAAGCTACTTGTAAGACCTGACATGTAGGACCTAAGAGCACTTCTTTCAGTATCTTTTGCATTCATCTTTCAGTTTGCAAATTTTTAGTCTCAAATTTTATTATTAACAAGTAGATGAATTGACTTGCATTCAGGTCATTAAAATCTCTTTATTCATAAACCTGTGTTTTAATTGGGATCAAAGTTAAAATTCTGCAAACTGTAACTTTGCTAATTCATAGACCATCGCAGGAATTAGAATGAAGTGTTTCCTTTGAGGTCCATACATGTACTTGCATACACGGTTATTTGATGGAGAAGAAAATGTAGGGGGTCTTATTGGACTACATAGAAGCAGACAGATGGCAAAAGCAAAGTCTAAGTCAGGTAGCAGAGTGAAACATGAATAATGGGCAGTTTGGAAAAAAAAAAGAATACAGGTGGCTTATCTTGGTTTTATGCATATTTGGGTGTTAGCTTTTGGTAACAAATATTATCTTAGGGTTTGTTACGACCCTCAATTTATTGTTACAGAAAGACTATGGAACTTGAGGTTATTAGTTAACTTTTGCGGAAATCCACTCTGAGTGCAACCCAAGACAAGACTTGGTGTTTGAGAATTATCAAGTCCACCCTTGCTCTCCTTAACAATTCTTTTAAGAATAATGAAAAGTGGAATGAACTTCCTGCAGACAAAATTGAAGCCATAAAGTATGAATTTTTCCTCCTCCTTGTGCTAACTTACAGGAATCTTGAACTTATGAATCTTAAAGGAGTTACAAAATGACATACTTCTAACACTATTATTAAAATTGTTCTATGGAATTATAACAGTAATTATAATAATTATAAAAATAATAATGATAATAACTCTTGATTCAAACACAAATATATAGTACTTGAGAGAGAGACTCCTGAGGTTATCCCTGTAAAGAGTGTACATGTACGAAATGCATGTGTACATTTTTGTAACAGCTTTGGTTGCGTCTTCCAAGAGATCTTGTTACTTGCTTGTTTTCATTGATATAAAATGTCGTTGTCTGATGATGAGAACATGCAGATCAACAGTGAAATTAAATATATATCAGAAAACTGATAAATATACGCGTTCTTTATTTTTCAATTGCATTACTGTGGAGAAAAACTTACAGTCTGAGATATGCACAAATTCACTCTAATAGGGTGTTCATAAGAAATTGCTCACTTTCTGCGTCTTCATTGTATTTACTTAATCATAGATCTTTTGTTTTTCGTCTTAGGTTGTAGGTATTACAAATCGTTGATTAAACACACAACCACCCCCTACCCCTGCCCTCCTAATTATTGTTTTCGTGTCCAGACTCTTGTGCGCAGTAAGATGAACCCAAAGTTTCTTTGTTCACCTCTCCACCAATCTTCGCTGTTACTGACCGGTTTAAAACTTTGTTGAGATCTAAATCTTAGCTTTTATTCCGTTCCAATGAATTTCAATTCTCCGACTCCGTTTCTCTTCTCTCTTTTATTTCGTGAGTGGGCTCATATGAGATTTTCGTTTTCGATCAGCACTTATTTCGACTCCTCCTTGTTACCCATTTCACAAATATAGTGAAGTGTATTTTAATTCTCATAACAGTATAAATTTCTTTTCTCTTTTGCAGACATTTCAACTGGGGAGGAGCGTTGTAGAAGAGATGATCCTTCAGAAAATAAACGTAGAAGAGTAGCAGGTATTATAATTATCAAGTAAAGAAATTTCATATTAAGCTTTCGTTTTAATAACTTATATTATGTTTGTGGTAGAGTGTCCGAGCGCGGAATCTGAAGGTGTTAGGTTCTGCTCCTGGTGAGGACTCAAAATTTTTCCTTTGTCCTACGCTCGTCACAAGATAGTTAAACTTCTTTCCTTTCCCTTTCCTTATAACGATTTGTCATTCTGTTCAAGAAACAGCACTCCGCAAAATTTTATGAAATAAAAATTCCTGAAGTTTTTTTTTTGTTTCTTTGGCTGTTTCATTTCCCAACATTATAGATCCATGATGAAATAAACGCTGGCAATTTAATCTTCCCTGCGATTTAAGAAGAGCTACTGACAGAGTGAAGAATCAAAGAACAGAGTGTGGGTGTGTTTTTTGCAGGGGGGAGGCGACGGCGGGGAAATTATCTTACCGTATTTATTCGATTAAACGCCGCGTCGCCTATTACATTTTGTGCGATTCGAGTGCGGTATTTACACGAGGGCGGCGTTCATTTAAAATCCAATCTCTTTCTTGCAAGCAATAGTGTAGTAACTGACCGTGTCAGTTTTGAAAAACAGAAACATGTTCCAGTGCTTGTCTAAAAAGTCATTTTTTATGTCGTTTTCTATTTCATTACTTACATGTTAATACTACTGCAATACATAACAATTCATAATACATCGTGAATAGAGATCTAATGTCGGATATGCTTCCTCGACATCAGAACTGTTCCATTCAAAAGGATTTGTGTCTGGTTCACTCAAAATTTCCAACTACGATCAATGCTTCGATTACTTTGTGCTTTTTTTAGTCAATTATTCGAATAAACGCCACATCATAATGCGGAGTGTATTCGAGGGCGGTGTTTATTAATAATTCTTCTCTAAATGCGGCGTTTATCTGAGGGCGGCGTTTAATCGAATAATACGGTAATCCTTTCATGCCAAGGAAACTGTACTTGAGTTCGTGTGGTGTTAGAAACTTGGAATCGTGTGTATATTCATCCCTTCAATAAAAGTTAAATTCTGTTTTTTTTTAATATTTCTTAGTACCGTTGAATGTTGAGAAGTGTCAAGAGCAGCTTCAGTCTTATTACGACACCTTCAGTAAGGTGAAAGTCGTTCCACGATAAAGGGTGATTCGCAGCTCAATTTCGTTCCGTTTTAATCATGCTTTCATAACATTCTTTTGTATTTTGTCGCAACAAGCCGACTCGCAAACAATTTGTTTTCTTGTCGAATTTTCGCTATGTAATGCTTCGTAGTTTTACGGTTCTTATTTTAATCCGCTGAGGAAATTGAAGAAGTTGTAATTCTGCCAGCTGTGTATTCGTGAATTGTCTGGATTGAATTTGGATCTATTCATCGTCGAAGGATCACCAGTAGCATGCGATAGTTCGATTGCTTTTATAGAACAAGAATAAAGTTTGTTTCATGAAGAGTCACCACCAGTCAGTTCAAATCAGTTTTATAAATGAATTTGAATTGCTTTGAATTTTTTTTTATGCGACTTTTGTAAATACCGCGGAGTGCAGTTGCACTTTCATTTCGCTGTTTACATCGCTGTTACTTTGTTGTTTGTATTTACTCCTTGTTGTGTTTATGGAAGAACTCGCGAGTCTAGAGCACCTTGCATTAGTTTCTCGGTGTTTTAAAATCACTTTGTCAGTTAGCCCGCTAAGAAATAAGAATGCAGAACTGAAAAGACTG